CACCCTCTCTCCTCACTTTCCCTACCCAGTGTGCTAATGAGGAAAGGAAAATGTGAAACTCCTTGGCTTCCCTAATTGCTGTGCTTTGCCCTTATAACTTTTTTGTTCTTGATTATCATGGTGAGAGTCCTGTTTCTGTCAATCATTTTTGGTTCTTTCTGCCTAGAAAATAGCAATGCATTTTTTTTTGTTTTTGTTTTTTTGTTTTTTGCCTTGAGATTATTCCAGCTTCTTCTTTTCTATAATTACAACAGGAAAAACGAAGATGATGATAATTTTTTTTTGTTTTACTTTGCAATAATAAGCTGTTGCAATCAGGAAAAGGTTTGTTTTTCTGGCCCCTGAAACTTCTCCTGTGACAGTTTCCAAATTTTCCTCAGGACTATAGAGCTGCGGATTTGTTCACTTCCACTGCAATTCTGGATTGCGAATATGTAACGTTTTTCTATCCTTTCCTCCATCACAGTGAAGGCTGTGTTGGGTAATAAACAAATCATGGACACAAGTGCAAGACAAAAGTTGTTTGAAACCTGCCTCTATTCCTTACAAGATTGGATTCATTACTTGGCTTCTCTGAGCATGAATTCCCCACTTGAATAATAATTTTTTTAAAAATCCCCTCTTCCCAGGGTTGTGCACAAAATTAGGCCAAATACTGTATTTTAAATATTTTAAACTATTTTTTTTTTGTCACATAATAGTGCTCAATAACTGTGTTCTCTTTCCATTTTCACTTAGCATCCCCCTTGCTTGGGGAGCTCTTCCTGTGTTTCGTATTTGGCTGAAAGGATTTGATTTGTCATCTGATTTAATTTTAGGATAAACAAGGCATTGCTATCTAAGGTCTGCTGGATCTTGGCTCAAACTAACTCAAAGGTGTAGGCTCTGCAACTTGCTATTTGCAAAGATGAGGTTTTTAGGGACATTGATAGTTATTTTTACAATGGAGAAAACAATCTTCACCATCTTCATGCTCTCCTTTTATAATATAGTTCTTTGGATGCATGGTCGTGTAGCAGTAACACAAACAACAACGTATGCTGGCGGTCTGGTGGCGCAGGCCCAGGGTCCCAGAACTTTGGGAGGCCAAGGCAGCCAGATCGCTTGAGCCCAGGAATTCAAGACCAGCCTGGGCAACATGGAAAAATCCTGTCTCTACACAAAATACAAAAATTAGCTGGGTGTGGTAGCCCATGCCTGTAGTCCCAGCTACTTGGGAGGTTGAGGTTGGAAGAGAGTCTGGGAGGCAGAGGTTGCAGTGAGCTGAGATCTCGTGGGTGAGCAGCCTGGGTGACAGAGTGAGACTCCATCTCAAAAAAAAGAAAGAAAGAAAGGCAAAGAACGTTGCTATGGTGTTTCAGGAACTATAGTATATACTTTATATCATTTGAAATCCTTACAGCAAATCTGCAAGATAAATTGTTTGTTTTTGAGACAGGGTCTCACTCTGTCATCAGGCTGGAGGGCCGTGATACGATCACTGCCTTGACCTCCCAGGCTCACGTGGATTCTCCCACCTCAGCCTTTTGAGTAGCTGGTACCACAGGTGTGCAGCACCACATCCAGCTAATTTTTGTCGTTGCTATTGTAATTTTAGTAGAGACAGGGTTTTACCATGTTGCTCCGACTGGTCTCGAACTCTTGGGCTCAAGCAATCTACCTGCCTTGGCCTCCCAAAGTGCTGGGATTGACACCACGCCTGGCCAAAATGATAAATTTCATTCTCATCACCCTAAAGATAATAAACTGCAGCTCAGAGAGGTTGAGTGACTTGCCCAAGGTCACACAACTACTATGACAGTTCTGAGTGACTCCAAAGCCACTGTTTATTGTTTATGAAAGAGAGAACAAAGTAATAAAATAGGAAAGGAAAAATGGAAGCAAAAGGAAAAATAAAAAAGAGAGAGAGACAGAGAAAGAAACAGAGAAATCAGACACTTCATTTTAGATGGATTGCCTAGCATTAGCCTTTTCTCCTACCACGAGCACCCATATTTTTCTCTTTCCTAGGAAAATGTCAGCTTTGGAATAATTTAACCCAAATAATCACTCTGTTGGAATAACTCTCTCCTGGTGCTGCTATAATTTGGCTTACAATTACAGTTAATTGAACATCTTCGGAGTGAGATCAGTGCTGCATGCACATAGAGAGAAATTTAATGTGCTAAGCATGCAAAAACATGATTTTAGAAGTTCATTTTTATTGGGAGGAAAAAAAAAGCAATTAGTGAGACATTTTTCAGCACGGAAGAAAAAAAAAACCTCGTAAAACCCATGGTCTTGAAACAAGCTCTAAGATGATCCCTGGGCGCCATTAAGGGTGCAGTAATGTAAAGGGTCTGTGAGCTACAGGTTGACATGTGCAAAAAGGTTCTCCTTCTCAGGAATCAAGACACATTAGTCTCATTATTTGCAGCTACTTGACAAGACAAGGGCCAGAGGGAAGCAGCAACATCAGGAAATGCAGTGTGAAGAGAGGAGGTGGCTAATTAGAGAGAAAAAAAGAGATATTGAGGAATCTGTTCTAGAAAATCTCTTTCCAGAAGAAGGGCATTTCAGAAGCAAACAATCCTCGCTCTGGATATGACCTGGGAGGACACCAAATTTACCCCAGCACTGTATACTGCCCTGACTATACACACATTTGGCATTACGTATACTGTGACTCTTTTAGTTAAAACTATCTTTTTAAAACAACTCTCTAAGGTATTTCTTTCAACTCAACTCATAAAAGGATTAAGCCCCAAAGTAGTCTGGACTAAGTGCTGTTTCACTTACTAGAGTAGCTAGGGCAAAGGAATAGAGGGAAAGCTATGGAGACAGGTGTTTTTTAATCAGCTCCTTTTTCTCCTTCTCAGTCTTTGCCAGAAGGGTTATGCCTGAGCCGTCACTTCAGGTTCTTCAGTCCTGCTTATTATAAAGTCCTTTGGGAACCTGCTTGGTGGGATAGAGTATCTGTGACTCCAGAATAATTGGATAGGGAAATGAAAAGGCTGGAGGTTAAAAGAGGATAAATCTAGTTGGAAGTACCATGTTGCTTTTAATTTCTGTCTCTGAACCTACACTGGTCTATCCACAAGCTAATCAGAGCATGCCAGGATTTGTGACTTTACAACCATAAGTCATAAGAGGCTCAAAGGGATTTAGAGGTGGGGTTGCTGTTCTTTTGATAGAAATTGTCCTCTAAAAACATAATTTCTAGCTGGCCAGGGAGAAGTGGAGGAGACAGGAACTTGCCACAGATATCTAAGGAGCAATCAGCACTTCTGCTATCCAATTATCCAATTCCATTTACATAGGAATCCACATTACTTCAGGAGAAAGCAGGTATGTCTAAATGCAGCCAGCCAGAGTCAGGCTCTAAATTCTTTTTTTTTTTGCATTTTAGGTTTTGGGGTACATGTGCAGAACGTGCAAGATAGTTGCATAGGTACACACGTGGCAGTGTGATTTGCTGTCTTCCTCCCCTTTACCCACATCTGACATTTCTCCCCATGCTATCCCTCCCCAGCTCCCCTCCTCCGCTGCCCCTCCCCTATTCCCCCCAATAGACACCAGTGTGTAGTGCTCCTCTCCCTGTGTCCATGTGTTCTCATTGTTCATCACCCACCTATGAATGAGAATATGTGGTATTTCATTTTCTGTTCTTGTGTCAGTTTGCTGAGAATGATGTTCTCCAGATTCATCCATGTCCCTACAAAGGACACGAAGTCATCGTTTTTGATGGCTGCATAATATTCCACGGTGTATTGTTTGCTCTTTAGGTTCGTGGTTATCTTCTTTGAATTTAGAGAAGTGGATCTCAACCTGGAGCAACTTTGTCCCCCGTGGCATATTAGGAATGTCTCAAGACATTTTTGATTGTATAACTTGGGAGTGTGTGTATTACCATTCTCCAGGGAAACAGAACCAATCAGATATATATGTGTGTGTATATATATATATATATATGAAATTATGGAGGCTGGGAAGGCCCCTGCTCTGCTGTCTACAAGCAGGAGATCTAGAATAGCCAGTTGTAGAGTTCAAAGGCCTGAGAGCTGGAGAGCCAATAGTGTACATTCCAACCTGAGGTGTCTGAAGTCCTGAGAACCAGGAGCGCCAAGGGCAGGAGAAGATGGATGCTCCAGCACAAGCAGTCAAGCAGAGAGCAAATCCTCCCTGCCTCCACCTTATTGCTCTATTCAGGCCTTCAGTGGATTAGATGATGCTACTTGCACTGGAGAGGGCTATCTGCCTTTCTCAGTGTACTGGTTCAAATAGTAATCTCTTAAGGAAACACCGTTACAGACATACCCAGAAAGAATGTTTAACCACATACCTGGGCATCCCATGGTCCAGTCAAGTAGACACATAAAATTCACTATCTAGGGGGGTGTTATTGGCATTTGGGGGGGTGGATACCAGAAAGCTGCTAAACATCCTACAATGCCTAGGGCAGCCCCCGCACCCTGTCAACAAACGTCAACAGTGACAAGTTTGAGAAACCTTGATTTAGAGAATATCCAAAATTCCTTTGCTAACCTTACTTCTCTTGCCAAAATCAAAATACATGTTTATCCTTGAATTTTTATAGTTTCCTGGCTGTTTCTTCTCATTTGTCTTTCAATAGCAAAACCATTTTGTCTCACAGAATCATTCCTGACTTCCAACTAGGAACCAGAATGGAGGGCAGATTTCTCATTTCTTGAAGGCAGTAGGCACGTTAGGTATTCTCCCACCACATCGTGCAAAACTCTAACATTAAAAAATGGCAGGTTTGCCTTCATGGGCTAGTTTCATAACTGACCCAGAGCATCTGTGACCTGTTGTTTGGACAGCAACAGGTTACCAAGTAGAGCACGGAGCACTTGGTATGACATGGAAAGGGAACTAAATAAGTGCTATACTTTTGCAAGCTTCTTGACCTAAAAGTTACTGTTTTTACCAATATGACTGGAAAAAAAATATACTCAGTGGAAATCTCATTGAAATAAAACACACTTCTAAATCAATTTTCCATTTCACCAAAGAATCTTTAATCACAGAGGTGAACACTAAAAGTAACATGATGAGGAAAGAAAATGAACAAAGTTCTAAGAAATCAAACCCATGGCTGTCAGACACGTGTCTACATAACTCAGCCTAGGAAAACATAATTATTCTCTGTCCACCACAGACTTAGGCTCCATCTCTAAGTAACAATATACACTTTTTAAATTTACAGAATTAAAAACATTTATTCATATACATTCTGTCTTATTTCTTTTGCATATTATTATTTAGGCACAAATCCAAAGCCTGCTTGTACTATGGAATTAAATAGGACCAATATAAATAAGCCCAATTTAAGGAGACCTTTGAGAGTGAAATATTATAGTTGGAAGCCAGCTTGCCAAGGTTGGAATTGTTACTGTCATTTTGGGGAAAACTCTCCTTAGGTATACGCTGAATGCTGTCAGCTGCTGTCCTCATAGCTGCCACTGTTTCGGCAAGAATGAAAATGCATAGGGCTCATGGGATCCGATACATAGCCTGCGTCAGAAAAGAAGTTCAGCTGTTACTTGTTAGTCTTTCAGTACATCCCCCAATTTTTTATAACCAGCCTGAACCAGGCAGGTCTTCCAGGTCCTGTGAATAGAGAATTTGGACAATGGTTATTGGTGAGTGTTGCAAAGCAAAAGCAACATTTAACATGAAAACAGAGAGCAGAGGCCAGGCAAATACGAATAATGAATGTCTAAATTGGACCTAAGCTGGCCAGGTGGGATTTTGGGTTAGGAGTAAAGAAGGGTACACCTCATGTAGATGGCAGGTCATGATGGCTGAAAGCACAGGCTTTCACATCAGGCGAATCTGGGTTTCAGCACAGATTACACTACTTGCTGGCTCTGTGACTTTTGTCAATTTAAACTTTCTAAGCCTCAGTGTCTTCATCTGTAAATGGGAGAAATATTAGCAGTTATTTATAAGGTTGGCAATGCACCTAAGACAATTAGTAGTGTCTGAAACCCAGGGAATGCTAAGCAAATGATGGCTAAAAAAAGGAAGGTGGAGACAGCAGTAAAGAAAAAGGAAAGAGCCTTCCTTTCTCAAAGCAGGTGGCTTTGTTTGTTTTCTTCTCCCTGGTAGCCCCAATTTTAAGCATACATCAATTCTTATGCCTAAATACCAGTGGCATTTGATGCCCTTTGAAGCAGTAGCCCTGGATGTGTCCAGAGAATGAACCTAGTGGCTTAGGATCAGGCCACTGTCGAGAGAACCACAGGGCTATGTGAAGGAGGCAGTTTTCTTTGCACTCTGAAGCAAGAAAGCCATTCATCACTCCTGTGAAAGTGAGACATTTGTCAATAGCTATTGCTGCTTTTGCTCCCTTTTGATAGCTGAGTTTTTATAACCAACCCAGTCATCTACATTTCCATTAAGGCATCTAGCAATATGCATTTGGATTGGCATATTTATTTTCATAAGAAAGGTCTCTGTCAAAATATCTTAGGTAGCACATAAACTCTCTTGAGAGGAAAAGCCACTGATAGCGATACTCCTGTCAACTGGCCTCTCCCACTCACCTCTTTTAGGACTGGCTCCAGTCAGATGTGAGGAAGGTTGCGATGGGTGAGGATGAGATGAGGGGCAGTAGGATACATAAGAGGGAATCTTAACTCTGGGTAGACTAATACAAAATCTACCCCCTTCAGCAACATATTTCCTGTAGGCTGGCTAAAAACAAGACTTTATTTCAGGCAAAGATAGATGCTTTCATAAACTTGCAATCCTTATGACCCTAATCAGTCTTCTGACATACCACATGCAACTGTACTGGCCTGTGATGTTCTAGTGCCTCTTGCCCCACAGGACTCCAGTGGAAATCTGATTGTGGACATATGTCCCACAAGGGTGGGTGGGCTCTCCCTCAGGGATGAGCAGTAAAATCAGTAAGGCATGGAGGCCAGCATTTATTATTGATGCCATGAGTGTCAGAATGTAAGAATAGATGTGTTGGATTGTGGAGCCACTCAGTTTAAGAGGAACTCAACTGAAATTTGACCATAGGCTTTAGGAGAAGACTGAACCAAGTCTGCATGTTTTGCCACTTTAAGGGAAAAGGTCTCAAGTAAAGATAAAACAGCTATGCAATTCATTTTATCTCCATTTTCTAGCTCTGCTCTTTGGTGGCAAAGCAGGGGGAGAAGAAGCTCATAAAGTTGCTGTTATACCGCAATCAGTTTATGAAATAGAATAAAGGGCAGTTAAAGGATACTTTCTTGTATGATGTGATGCTCCTAATGGGAGAGATGGGAGATTTCAAATGTATCTTCTTTGTTTATAGGCACTCTCAATCCATCCAAACATCCTCAATTTTCCTGCCATCCCTGGGGCAGATATGCATAGGAAAACCCAAACTTTGCATTATTGCACCACATTTGTCTTACTTCTCCATCTTGGAAGAAATCCTTCTTTAAGAAACAATGTAAAGAAATGCTCCCTCTTAAAACTTCACCACAAAAGGAAAGACTTCTGGTCAAAGCATACATTTCAAAGGTTGCCCTATATTTTGTGGTTGTGAATTTATATCAGTAAAGGTTTGAAGAAACAATATTATATCTATTAAAAATGTGATGATGTGACACTTGGAGCGCATTTTCCTCTCAAAAGGATCTGTTTCTGAACTGGCCAATTATGTTGTAAAGCTGATGATAAAATGGGTTCATCTGCATTCTAGAGACATATTGGGAGTCAGAAGCACAAAGTTTCCCCTTTTTAAATGTGCCCCAGTAGTTTGTCTGCATCTATTCAAAAGATATTTTCTTTTGTTTGTTTCTTAAAAGGTTTCTAATGCCTTAGCTAATGATTCTCTGAAGATGAGGTGAATTGCTGAGGATCCCAAAGCCAACGGTCTCCCGGGTCTATCACCATCTATGTCAGAGACCCAGGCTCACATCATCCAATTTCTTCTTCCCCAAACCCAGCTCTTATAATAAATCTGATCTCTTTAACTGGCAGACACTATTTCAGTCCTCCATATAGTGAAAGGAAGTTGCAATGAATAAATGGGCCCATTGTGCTAAACTTCCAATTAAATAAACATAGTGCCTCTCAGGCTTAAAGGTTGATAAAAGGACATCCCAGCCCTAACACATTGATGTGGCAGCTGATGATAAAGGCAATTGTCCATCCTCTGGCTTCCAGAGGCCTGAAAAAAACGTTGTTAATTATTTTAAAGAGCTTTATTAATCCTTTCTGAAGCAGTGCTGTGTAAAATGGATCCCATCAACTATCCCCTCACCACCTCTCCAGCTGTTTGAAGGAATGGTTGGATTTGCATTTTACCCTTGAGTGCTTGGCTAAAGAGGAAGAGCTCTCCCAATACATTATGTAATTGTGAAAACTCATCTCTTGTTTTTCTTCTCCCTACCTACACACACTCAATGTGGGGCTTAGAAACAATGGACTTAATAAGATGTTGACAAAGTATTTGGTATATCATGAGAGGAAGCAGAGTTTTTTTTTAAAAAGACGTGCACTTTTTTCTATGTACACAAACACATACAGGCACTCACACATAATTACGCATATACTTATATGCTCATACACACTCACACATGCTCACACACACATTATTAACCTTAAAGGTAAAGGAGTTATGAAAGACATATAAAATGAAATTCTATACTTGCATATTGTATCATCCACAATGACGGATGATACAATATGCAATGTTTTGTCTTTTTTTGTCAAGTAGACATCACCTTCCCAGGGTTAGTTTTCTTAACAAACCTAAAAAATCTGTCTACTTACCATATTTGTCAATGGGTGAATATTGAAGACTTCTTTTCATCTCCTCCAAAGACAGACCTTGAGAGGAACATTGTCCAGTACTAGAAAATTAATAAAACACTTAGTTTCACAGTGTTGTGATCTGATAATAACATTTTTATAAACACATAATTTTTCCACTCAACATAGATCCAAGAGAAATGGCAAAATGATACAAAACAGCTTTTATCTTACAAGTGACTAGATGGAGAACAGTTGAGAATTATTTGATTTAAGTCATATCTAAGTGTGAGTCCTGGCTTTTATGCATAGTTACACTTTCTAGTAGTATAACCTTGGGTATGCCATCCTTACTGAGCCTCAGTTTATTTATCTGTAAAATAGGAAAAGAACACAAATAATTTCCAGTTTGTGTTTGTTATCTTTACTAAAAAGAACTAAAATAAGAACATTATCTTAGTAACAATATAAATAAAACACATCCCAAGAAGTATTATTATAGTGTTGTTTTTATGATAATGATAAGATATAGTGATAATATTCATTGCATGATTTTGTGTGTGTGTGTGTCTGTGCAAACATACATATATATATATATCACTTTACATATAATGTAATATTATTTCCATATTTTATAGATAACAGAACTGGCACTGGAACAAGTAAGTAACTTGTCACGCAGGTTTGGTAATAGCTCATCCACAATCGAATCCAAGCCTTTTAGATTCCAAAGCCAATGTATTTATCTATCTACTATCAAATATGAATTTCTTCCTGATTCCTACTCTTTATTGATCCTCCTTTCTCAAGTTCCTCCTCCTCTTTAGCCAATTTGTTTAATGAGGTCACTTCCTTCCAGTTCACTTGACTCAGAACCTGAATTTATCAGAACCCTCATCCTAACATCTAACTACATCTATCAGTTAATTACATATCTAAAATCTCTCTTGCATCCATTCATCCTTTGTCATTCTCAAAGCAACTACCCTTGTTCTCGCCAGACCTTCACCATGACCATAAGAGAACTCTTAATTCTCCCAGCCCCCAAGCCAATTATTTCCATTTCAGTTACCAGTATGACATCATTCAGTTACCTTGAGCCAAAATTATTGGAGTTATCCTTGGTAACAGCTTCTTTCTCTCACATTTCTCACTCAACTCAAGTCCTTTTAGCTCTGCCTCTGAAATATAATCCTAATCTATCCATCTCTCTCCAGCCTCAAGGCCTAGATTAATCTTTTTCTTCTTTGGACTTTTGCAGTTTGCCAGCTAATTGATCTTCCTGCTTTCACTTCTGTCTCTATTTAGTTCAGTCTTCATATATTATCCAGGGTGATCTTTTCAAAATATAAAACAGATTACATCATTCACCTACTTAAAACCCTTCAATGCTTCACAGTTCATTTGGAATAAAACACAAATGCTCTACCTACAAGGTCCTGGTCCTGCCTACTTCTCAAACATCAACCCATACACCTCTCCCCTAAACACTTTTTGGCATTATTTCTGTCTCTTCAACCCTCCAAGCTCTTTCCCAATTCAGAACTTCTGCCTTTGTTAACTCTACCTGGAATGCGCCTCTTAATGAATGCAATCCCTTTTGCTGAACACTTGCCCCGCCTTCATCTATGACTGACTCCTTTGCCATTCAGGCCTCAGTTCAGTCCTGAATGGCAGAGGAGTCAGTCATAGATCCTGACCACCACTCTAAGTGACTACTCCTCTGACCACGGCCACTCTCTATCACATCACATCACACATCACATAACATCACATCACACATAACATCACATCACACATCACATCGCATCGCAACACATCACATCACATCACACATCACATCGCATCGCGTCACACATCACATCACACATCACGTCACGTCACATCACGTCACGTCACATCACGTCACGTCACATCACGTCACATCACGTTACACATCACACAGCATATCACATCACATCACACATCACACATCACATCACAGCACACATCACATCACACATCACACATCACATCACACATTAGATCACATCACATCACATCACATCACACATCACATCACATCACACATCACATCGCATCGCATCGCATCATGTCACATCACATCACATCATGCATCACATCACATCACACATCACATCACATCACACATCACATCACATCACACATCACATCGCATCGCATCGCATCATGTCACATCACATCACATCACGCATCACATCACATCACACATCACATCACATCGCACATCACATCACATCATATACATCACATACCACATCATATCACATCACAAATCATGTCACAACACATCACACATCACATCACATCACACATCACATCGTGTCACATCACACATCATATCACATCACACATCACATTACATCACACATCATGTCACATCACACATCACATCACATATCACATCGCATCACACATCACATCACAACACGCATCACATCACATATCACATCACACATCACATCACATCACACATCACATCACATCACATCACACATCACATCACATCACATCACACATCATGTCACATCACATCACCCATCACATCACAACATGCATCACATCACACATCACATCACATCACACATCACATCACACATCACGTCACATCACATCACACATCATGTCACATCACACATCATGTCACATCACATCACATATCACATCATATCACACATCACATCACATCACATATCACATCACATCACATCATCACATCACACATCACGTCACGTCACATCACGTTACACCACGTCATGTCACATCACATTACACATCACACATCATATCACATCACATCTCATCACACATCACATCACATCACAACATATCACATCACACATCACATCACATCACACATCACATCACATCTCATCACGTCACGTTGTATCACATCACATCACATCACATCACACATCATGTCACATCACATCACATATCACATCATATCACACATCACATCACATCACATATCACATCACATCACATCATCACATCACACATCACGTCACGTCACATCACGTTACATCACGTCATGTCACATCACATTACACATCACACATCATATCACATCACATCTCATCACACATCACATCACATCACAACATATCACATCACACATCACATCACATCACACATCACATCACATCTCATCACGTCACGTTGTATCACATCACATCACATCACACATCACATCACATATCACATCACATCACACATCAAGTCACATCACACATCACGTCACATCACATCACACATCACATCACATCACATATCACATCACATCACATCACATCACATAACATCACCATATCACATCACATCACATCACATCACATCACATCACATCACATCACATCACATCACTCTACTTCCCTCTTTCATAGATAATTATCTTGCTTATTTTTCTGTTTACTTATACACCCTCCATATTCTTTCCACACAATGAGGGTAGGGACTTGTCTCTCTTGTTCCCTGCTATATCCTCAACACTCAGAACAGTGCCTGGTTTATAAGAGAAGCTTTACAGAGTTTTTGGAGCATATAATAGAATTAATAGATCCTTAAATGACATTTTCCCCACCAGTCACTCAATACTCCCCCAAAAGGGTCTTATTATAAAAAAAAGCTTACTCCAGCACTCTCCTGCAATTCCCCAACCTGATATACCACGTCCTCTATATCCCTACTCATGTCTCTCTGTATTGTATTCTACAATTTCTCAACACATTTTTTGCCCAAGTTCAAGGCAAACAAATAAACTGAATTTTCTAAACATTCCTCAATTTTCTTTTCTCTAATGACGGTGACTCAGCTGACCTCACTGCTTGAATATGCCTATTTATCTCTGACAGGAAGCAGTATAGTGCTATGGTTAAGAATGCACATTCTTTGCCAGTCTCCTTGGATTTGAATCCTGACACCATCACTTAATATCTTGGCAAATTATTTAACTATTCTATGCCTCAGTGATGCAACTATAAAATGGGAATTATAACAAGACTGAATGTATAAAGTTAATTATGAGGACTAAAATAGTTAATAGTTTAAAGTACTATGGACATTGCTGGAATTTAGTCAGCATTCAATGAATGTTACCTACTTTTATTATTCTTCAAGGTACAACTCAAAGTTGGCATCTTCCTTGAAGCCCTCTTGAAAATCCCCAGTCAGAATTAACCTCTTCCTCTTCCAAACCCTTCTTGCACTTGATAATCCTACCACAGTACTCATCAGAGTCAGCCTTAGTGTAGAATTATCTGTATTTGTATGCTAGCGAACCTCATTACACAGATAGCTCCTGGAGATCAGAGACTATGTCTGACATCTTTAGATTCCCCACAGGGGTTAGCCAGTACTTTGCAAATACTTAAACGAAAAGTATGTTAAATTAAATAAAATTAAATTATTACAAAATGTTCATTTAGAGACACCAGATTTTTCTGAAAGCTAACATAAGTTCACGCTGATTAATTCTTTCTACTTGCCTTAAAAATGAATGCATCTTTGGCCTCACTTCCTTAAGCTAAGGAGTAGAGATGCTGCTTTTTAGAAGAAAGCAATACTTAAAAAGAAGACAAAGTATTGGCTTTAATGTGACATGATGTGTTCTCAATCAACATTAAATGGCAACAGAATGTCACTCAAGACATTTTTCAAAACACTATTTCCCTTATTAATATACGTGACTTCTTTAGAACTCTACCTCCTTTTAATAACTGTGCAATGCTCAGTAGTCTTGGCAACACAAGACAATAGGAAATAAATATTTTATCACCAAAATGACTATCTGGTTTCCTCTGAATAAAAGCTCATATCCAAGCTGCTCCATTTGCTCGGTTGCTAAATGCAATCCATGTCAGCGGACTTAACCTTTTCGCCCAAGAGATACCACATAGGCTGGCTCCAGACGCTGTTCTAGGATGACAGACAGATGGAAGCTACCCATGCCCAGGTCAAACAAAACAAGAAACCAGACCCTGATAGATGGAACTAGCTGTTTGAACCCGTGTGCATCCAGACTTCAGCAAGGGTTTCACAGATGCCCAGGGTTTAGGGGATACATCAGAACCTCTATTTC